GCCCGTCCGTGCCCTTGCCACGTGTTAAAAACACGCCCGCGTCGGCCAAAACACGGTCGTGCCTAAATATGGAAATGACCGTGTTTTTCTTTAGGCCAGCCCGTGTTTTGACCCCAGCAGCCCTCACGACACGCCCTCGGCAGTAAAAATACTAGCGGGTGCCAGATAAAACACGGCCGTGTTTTTAGGGTAGTCTGCCCATGTTTTTACTGCCGAACCTGTTCCCCTATATTCAATGCTTCGTTTCTCCCTCGTTTCATGACTAGCTTGCATGATTCTTTGTCCATAAAGTGAGGTAGAAATCCATTCTTATTCAGGTCATGCCCGAGTTTCTTCTCCCGAATCGCAAATTGATCTCTGATTGACTTGAAACTTGCGTCTATGCTTCACTTTATGTGCTAGGACCTGAAATGTGACAAAGGAACACAACCTAGCGTAAAATAAGCCAAAGACGCGATACTTAAAGCTCAAACAATCAAGAAACAAAGGGGAAAACATGTGCAAATATCGAGTCATCAAATCCCCCCACACTTAACCGTTTGCTTGTCCCCAAGCAAACCAAGTCAGACACAAGGTAAGCTCAAAATGTTTTAGTCAAGCAGGCTTTAGGGACATATAATATCGGCACAAAACACACGAATCATACTGGCTTTTGATCATTAACACATGGACAACCTCAACGACAACCTAGACAACCACCACAGATGACATTCGAGTGCAGCAAAGTCGAGCAAAGGAAGAGTCTCCCTTCTGTTCACCAACCAACATAAACTTGACTCAATCACTTATTCAAGATAGTCACTTCATGCACAAAGCACAAGATATCAAAATTAAGACCGAGCAATCTAGGTCCTCACCGGGGTAAAGAGTGTAGAAAAATATAAGGAAATAAATCGCTCGCTTTCGAGCAGTGGGGTCAGGACAAAATTTTGATGCAAGATGTGCATACTCATACTCTCAATCCCTAACGTCTCTTCACCATGACGGCAGCCTCTAAGTGTTAGAGTTCACATATCGGGTGTCACCACTAACTAATCCGGAGGTCTTAGACACAGGTTCAGATGACTGGCTAGGGTCTTGGACATGGGGAAAAGGCCTTTTAGGTGGTGGAAGTATTCATAGCACAAGGTTCCACAATTCCAAACCCAACACAATCACAGTCAATCAAACCACTCTTTCTTTCTGCCGTTCTGCATTACTCACATTCTTTAGAGCATAAGAGCGAAGGAGTTCACATAAATATTAGTATTTCCAAGCCACACTGCTAAGAAACACTACTCAATGGGTACTATTCAGATTTTGTGGTGGTGGCTCTCTTTTGCTTCCATTCATTTTTTTTTCTTTTTCTTCATTTCTTGAGAGAACCACCACCTATGCACATTTTTCAAACACATGCCCAACTTTTTTAAGAACTACCTCCAACCCTCACATTATATTTAGCAGAAACAGCAGAGAACATGTAAAAACCACTCTGTGGAACCTTCTAAGAGATGTAAAAGGGTGATTTTCCATTGTAGACCGAAAGAAAGAAAAGTACACGGCTTAAAGGAGCTGACTAGGGGGTATGACACACTAGGACAGTCAATTTGGTCGTGGGCTAATCCTATGCCTCCATCATCTTAGCTAGTGACAACGTGAATGCTACACATCATGGAAGAGGGATCTATCGCACAAGAAAGAAACGAGTCGGCTCAAATCTCACATGGCTACCTATATGCTCTATCTCTCATTCTGATTCCCTGAACTATATGCATAAACGACTGTCAAGAACAAGTGATCAATCCAAATCACAGTTGGTAAGTAAACCGTTGAAACACTGAACCCCTACACAGTTCTACTGCACGTCTTAGTCATCATTATAGGTTGTCCCAGTTACAATCAAGTTGTCAACTTGTCATTAATTAATTCGATAGCCATTCGATTCACCAATCAAATCCACAGTGCCAATACGATCAAGCAAACAACAATACTTGGAGCCCTCAAATCTCGAGATTTGGACAGCGGACTAGGATCCAAGCACACATATATATGTTCCAATGAATACAAAGAACCCCCCCCCCCCCCCACACACACACACACTGAAATGCGACACTGTCCTCAATGGAGCAGAGGGAAGGGGAACGATGTTACCGTGAAATGAAGATCAGGAACGGGGACTGGGAGGCAGACCAGTAAATAGCAGGGGACTGGAAGGGGGACCAGTCCAAGGCACAGAGCTAAAGTCATCAAAAGACACACACTGGGTGAAAGAACCGGACTTCCAAGTGGACAAACCGAAAAACAAACGAAAGAAAAACAAACCTTGGTGGGGCTGCCTCCCCACAAGCGCTTCTTTACCGTCTTTTAGCTGGACGCAATAGGTGGATGCTCAGAGAGGTGTAGGAGCAGGTGCCTTCAAGAGCGGATCCACATCGCTCTTGAGGTACAGCTTCAGATGGTGGCCATGTACACGACGAGTGTGACCACCAGCACTCGTCAACTCGACCTGGCCATCCGACAGGTTGCAAGCGAGTGAATACTCGGATGGCCAAGGCGGTCGAAGCTCAGGAGCCAGGACCAGCTCATAGTGGTCTCCTACTTCCTTTTCAGCAAGCTTAGCTACCTGCAGTTTCGGCCGCCACTCCTCCTTGATCTTTTCCTTTGATGACGGAGTGGACGGGGGTGGCGGCGAAGGTATGGAAGGGGGGTCCTACAAAATGGAGAGCACAGAAGGATACACGACAGACTCGTGCTCCTGGTGAGAAACAACATGCAAAGGTGATGAAGCAGGGAGAGTATTAGCAATGGAAAATGTTATTCACTCCTCGCCATCCCTCAAGACTAAGATCCCATCATGTACATCTATGAGAGCCTTGGCAGTGGCCAGGAAAGGCCTTCCTAGTATAAGGGGCACTTGTGTGTCTTCATTGATGTCCAAGATAACAAAATCCACAGGATAAAAGAATTTGCATACCTTAACCAGAAGGTCTTCCACTATGCCCCTAGGATGAACTATAGATCGATCAGCTAGTTGAATACTCATCCTAGTTGCACTGGGTTCACCTAGGCCTAGTTTCTTGAACAATTTATATGGTATCACATTAATACTAGCACCTAGATCCACCAAGGACCTCTCTACATGCAATTTACCTATAGAGCATGGGATAGTAAAACTACCTGGGTCCTTCTGCTTCTGCGGAAGCTTGTTCTGCAGAATGGTCGAGCACTCTTCGCTGAGCTCCACAGTGGCCAGCTCACTCACCTCCGCTTCTTTGAGAGAAGCTCCTTCAGGAACTTCGCGTACTTAGGCATCAGAGATAGTGCCTCCATGAAGGCACTACGGGAAAAGTGGCATTTGGCAACACTTGAAATGTGTTGCAAAAGGTGCCGAAAGTGTTGTGTATGCAATATGCAACACTTTTACTAGTGTCCTCTATAGGTGGTGTTGTATAAAGTAATAGGTAACACTTTTGGCACGTTTCGCAACAACAAAAATGTGTCGCATAAGTATACTCTATATGCAACACAATTTTACATATGCAACATTATTTTAGGCAACACTTCAAAAAGTTTACGTAACACCTTTTGAAATGTATACCTAACATGTATAAGGTTTATTGTGACGGGTTAATTCTGTCACATAAGATGTGCTCAATTGTGAGAACCTTCCAAGTGTAACAAATACTTTGCATTTGTGACGAGTTTGTATAGTCACCAATGTTTTCCACTCTGTAACAATTTTAGTTGTCACAAATGATGCGTCTTTTCAAATACGCATTTATCACAAAAGGAGGTTTTTGTGTCAGGGATATTGTCGCAAAAGGCGGATTTTGTGACATAGTTTATGTTACCGCTGTGACAACATTAGTGACAAGAAATAAAATTTGTCACGAAAGCAAACTTTTATGATAAATGGTTTTTATCACTTCTAATAGCATTTGTGACGTTGGTGTGTTGTAAGAGAAGTATACATTAGTGACGATTTGATACATGATCAAAACCATTTAATGTAAGACATATTGTCGTCACAAATATAATCAATAGTGAGAACTTTAGCCATCACAATTTTGTATAGTTAGTGAAAACCGTGTTGTCACGATTATATTTTTCGGTAACAAAATTAAACTCGAAATAATATTGTAGTGACGTACTTTTTGTGACGCAAATGACAATTTTTGTGACGATTGTACATTGTAGCAAATAGTATACATTAGTGTCAATTTGATATGTCACCAAAAATTATTTATGTGGCAACTATTGTCATCAGAAAATACAACGATGGTGATGATTTGACTCGACATAAATACAATTTTTTTATATCAAAGTTGTCTTGTATATCACATTTAGTGACAATAACTATGACTTGTTTTTGTCATAATTGTAGTGATTTTGTGACAAATTGCTAGTCACAAATACCAAATTGCAACAAGATTTTGTTAATAATAAAAATAATTCATTATAAAAAGGGAATAGATTTCGTTTAACTCAATCCATATGTAAGAAATATCTTTAACTCCAATCTCAACAATGATATAAACTAAATATAGTAGAACAATGTACTAATAGACTACTGTTTATGTTGAAAAGAAAATTGTCTCTCATGTCGATCGCATTTCTCTCATCTTTTCTTCATGGTTTTTCTGCTTGTAGACGAGCTATTGTCTCCTCAAACTTCTTCTTTTCTTCGGCTAACTTAGCATCATACTGTTGTTGCACCTCTGCTTTGATCTCTGCCCTCAACAGAGACTTATCTTTCTCTCTTCTTCTGGACCTCCTACTACTCTGAGTGAGAGCCTTTCCCGAGGCAAGACAAACCATCTCTTTATACGTCAACTTAGATCCAGCTTCAACCAACTCTTTTATTTTACCCTGTAAAATGAAGAATGTATTAGTAGTTTCAAAATAAATTAGCACATACTAATAGAGACATCAAATATAATTTGAACTGATAAATTTGATAAGATGGTAAAAGGAATTTATATAAATGGTTGACTTACGTATATTATTTTTGACCTAGGATCCGGCCATGATATTTCTCCTTTGTTTTGCCTCGTATGTTGAGCAAAATATACCTCATCATGAGACTTCATTTTTCCAGTTAACGGATCCCTCTGAAATTTGAATTTTATTAATTAAATTTACAAGCTGAGAATACAGTTTAAATATGCGAAATGGTAAAAGATAATAATTAGATTATTATTTATGAACTGAAGTTAGAAAACTCATTACCGTATTTTCCGCCACTTCGCCATATGTTCTTGAGCCACAAGTATTTTTCCCTTCCACCTTTCCTCTGTTTTGCTTATTCCTCTTACTCATTTTCTATATATATTTTTCATATGTCAATAATAATCAAAGATTAAAATAAGTGTGCAGCATCTCATATAAAAAGGATACTTATGCCAATAATTGGGAATATAACTTTTCCATTTTCCTCCACACCCATCTCTTCGTGATTTCTTGAAGGTCGAGTGAATCTTGTATCACCATCCTCACTCAAATACCTTGAGCAGAATGATAAACATTCATTAGCTAGATACACTTCAGCTATGCATGCCTCTGGTTGACTTCTATTTTTTACATAGTCTTTCAAAACACCCAAAAATCTCTCGATCGGGTACATCCATCGAGTTTGCACGGGCCCGCCAAGTCTAATCTCTTCCACCAAGTGAATAGGTAGATGAACCATTATATCAAAGAAGCTAGGTGGAAATATACGTTCTAATTGGCACAGTATCTCAACAATCTCAGTTTGCAAGTGATATAATTCGCTCAAGATTATCACCTTTCGACAAACAGCCTTAAAGAATGAACCAAGTCTGATCAAAGCGATAGCCACATTCTTTGGCAAAGTTCTACGTACCACAACTTGGAGCAAGTACTGCATAATAAAATGAGCATCGTGACTCTTGTACCCAGAGATTTTCTTCTCCTTCACATTCACACAGTGAGATATATTGGATGCACAACCATCTGGTACTTTAGCGCCTTTTAAGACCCCACAAAAAATCTCTTTTTCATGGTTAACCAGTGTATAACAAGCTTTCACCAACTTACTCTTCTTAGGATTTTCAGATTCTCTTGGATGAAGACTCTTTCTAATTCCCATATCCTTTAAATCTAGACGAGCATTTAAATGATCCTTGGTCTTTCCTGGAATGTCTAACAACGTTCCCAAAACATTGTCACATACATTCTTCTCTATATGCATAACGTCAAGGTTATGACGTAGTGTATTATGCTCCCAATAAGGCAATTAAAAAAAAATAGACAACTTCGAGAACGCACCTCTTTTCTCAATTATCTTCTTTTCTTCCTTGCCAAAGTCGTTGATGAATCCAATCAAGTGTTCCTTAATCTCCGAACCAGATAACGGTTTCGGCTTCAGGCTAAGCTCTATTTTTCCATCAAAAGAGCTTTTGTCTTTCCTCCACCTGTGTTTCGCATCAAGAAATCTGCGTGCCCCCATGTAACATATTTTCCGACTCTTATATAAGTACTAAGAGCATGTGTCATAATTACAACTAGGACAAGCAAAGTATCCTTTTGTACTCCAACCAGATAGCATGGCCAATCCTGGGAAGTCACTGATACTCCACATTAAACAACCATGCATGTTGAACATTTGCTTACTATGAGCATCATATGTCATCACTCCTTCATGCCATAAGGTCTTCAACTCATCAACAAAAGGTTGTAAGTACACATCAATATCATTCCCTGGTGATTTTGGCCCCGGGATAAGTGAGGACAAAATCAAGTACTCAGGCTTCATGGACATCCATGGAGGTAAGTTGTAAATGGAAACTATCACCGGCCATGTGCTATGAGAACTAGTCATATTCCTGAATGGATTGAACCCATCTGCAGCAATGCCGAGCCTGATGTTTCTGCAATCAGCTGCAAACTCAGGATGTAACTTATCAAAGTCTTTCCAAGCTTGACCATCTGCAGGATGTCTAAGTTTGCCATCCTTCACTCGCTTCTCATCATGCCATCTCATAAATTCAGCGGTCTTGGAGGACATGAACAACCTCTGGAGTCGCGGTATCAAGGGAAAGTAACGAAAAATCTTGGCTGCAATTTGTTTCTTGGAACTAGTGCCATCTTCACTGCTATCCCCCTGACTATCAGCTGTAAACTTGTATCGGGATTCACCGCATTTTTTGCAATTCTCCAATTTTTCATTGTCACCATAGTATAGCATACAATCATTTGGACAAGCATGAATCTTCTTGTAGGTCAAACCTAAACCTTTAATCATCGCCTTCATTTTACCATATGATGCAGGAATCTTTGCATCTGGAAAAGCATCAACGAGCAAGGAAAGGAGCGAGTCCATTGATGCATTACTCCATCTGTTCTGGCACTTAAGAAGATAAACTCGAATGGTGAAAGAGAGCTTTGAAAATTTCTTGCAGCCTGGGTACAATTCTTGATCAGCATCCTGTATGAGAGTAAAAAATTCCTTCACTTTGTCATTTGATTCTCCACCACTCTCTGTAGCATAGACATCATTCAATAGGCCATGCATATCATCATCACCAATCTCTTCGACATCTCCTATATCCTCGACAACATTCTCTCCATGATCAGTCCACTGATTGTATTTCGGAGCAAATCCACGTACAACCAAATGCGTACGGACGATATCTCTTGTTTTCCAAAACAGGTTAATACAGTCCACACAAGGACACACAATCTGATCTCCCTCGGCTGAATTAGTAAATGCAAAGTTTAAAAAGTTCTCTACGCCGTTGCGATATGCAATACTTTCTCGTGGTTTTGAAACCCAACTCTTGTCCAACATTTCAATTGCAACCTGCAAAATATTTCAACTCCTATTAAAGTTTGCCAAAACAAAGGGGTATAGCAACTATACATTTGTCTTCAGACTGGTGTCTACTAGCATTTGTTCTTAGAATGAGTGACTCACGAAAGGAGAAAAAATGATGGCTGCCAAAAAATGCATAAATGAAGGAATTACGGTGCAGAAGAAACATTAGGATTGACAACACAGCAAAAGAGACAAAATATCTACTAAGAAAATCTTCAATCAAACTAAATAAATCATGATATAATCTTTGTTTGCAAGAAAGGGTGCCTCACGAAAAGAGAAAAATGCTAAATGGTTGCCAATAACTATCACTTAGCACATTATAATCAAATCAAGATAGTAATTTTTTGTCTTATGGCATTAGTCATGGCAGCTGTAAGTTTAAGACTTTTGGAGCACTAAGTCTAAATGTTTCTTCTATTGTTAGCAGCTGCTGCAATTTTTCACATGTTCAGCCCCAATTAATACGGAGATTGACAACCAAACTACAGATGAAAATACATCGAATTTTGCCAGTTACCCATTGCCATGAGCCGCAAAGGGGTGACCTATAGGAGCTTGTACCAGCTGCTTATGGGGTTGATATTAGCTACTTATAGAATCTTATAGAGCCTGAATCATTTAGTTAATAGGTTGTATTTTGCTATACGAATTAGTGTATCATAATTTCATGGGAGGAGAGTCGCATAGAAAGAAAAATATCTAAATGAACTAAAGTCATGAGAAAATCATTGCCAAACCTCTCGATCCTATATGTAAACGACAAAGGCAGTGTACAGCCAGTAAATGCAAGACACCCATTGCCATGAGCCGCAAAGGGGTGACCTATAGGAGCTTGTACCAGCTGCTTATGGGGTTGATATTAGCTACTTATAGAATCTTATAGAGCCTGAATCATTTAGTTAATAGGTTGTATTTTGCTATACGAATTAGTGTATCATAATTTCATGGGAGGAGAGTCGCATAGAAAGAAAAATATCTAAATGAACTAAAGTCATGAGAAAATCATTGCCAAACCTCTCGATCCTATATGTAAACGACAAAGGCAGTGTACAGCCAGTAAATGCAAGACACTATAAGATCTTACGATCACAATTAATCTCCTCATCTCCACATTCTTATAGAAGAAGTAGCAAAGCTACTAGCTGCTATGTTTGCCATATCTTGGAGGATTCATTCGAGAACAACTCACGTGAAGAGATTGAACATGGTATACTGTAACAACCTGAAATGAAGGGAGGTAGGAAGGCTACAGGTCTAATGTGAGCATACTTGTCCCTCTGTATATCCTCTGTAGTCTGCTCACAATACTTTATTGAGATTGAGAATATTTCTACTGTCTTAAAAATCATAATCAACTGTTGTAATTGATTTGCAGTTCAAATTTCAAGAAACGCACTACCATTGGCAAACAAAAAACACCCAGTCCATCACATTTCAAACACAATGTTGAGAAGAGAATTGCACAATTAATCTAAAGCAGTAGCTGCGTAATATAACCCCACCGAACAGTATTGAAAGCTATGAATTTGCCAACCTGCCTGCAATTCATGATTCAAAGGGCAAGTCTACAAGCTGTTGAATTTAATTAACAAAACAGTCTCTTTATAGCAGGCATTCCTCCCATTGCTAGGAGATCTAGACTATAGGGCTCCCTTGTTATCCTAGTTCTACATCATCTAATTAGTAATTTCTTAAAGCTCAGACAACTCTAGAACTGAACAAAATAGATAAGACCCTTGTAACAACACCAGAATCTGATGAATCACATCCACAGGAAGATTGGTAATTCTGTCGTCGACACTTATTTCGCAAACCCGCTTCATCCCTGCCTCCATATATCGATACCACCCAAAATTTCAAACAAGTAATGCCAAACCCAACAGGTCAAACAATCCAGCGATCAAGTATATACATCCTGATCGCCCTAGCAAGCTTTACAGTTCTCATGCACTGCATCGCATAGATTAGCGATTACCTTGTCTACGATGGGTTATTTTCTGCAGGACCCGAAGCAGTAATTCACAATATCCCCAAATCCAATTCAACTTCAAAGAAATTATCCTTCCTTATTCCCCTCTTCCTTTTCTGACATTCCACGACAAAGAACTCGTAGGAATTCAAACCAAACAACAAAACTAAAATATAGATATTATTAAACGAACTGACCAGGAGATAAGGTGCTTCTTTAGTGACAAATTCTTGGATAGATACAGCAGGTAGTTGAAGATTGTGTGCCGACTGCAGCTCCAAGGAGTAGGTGCTCTGCTCCTTTTCCGAACGAGACGAAGAACAGGGTTTGCGGTTGCTCCTTTCTCTATTTTTCCCTTTTCGCGTGAATATGTGGTCTAATCGTTTCCCACTAAAATGTTTCATGTTTACTTTTGGGATTCCGTATCTTTCTCTGTTTAGGAACTTCTTTTATTATCATTATAATGATCTCACCTTTTTTGTTTTTACCAAAGCAGAGGCAATGATCTCACCTTTCAAAAGGAACGTATATGAAAAAAGAAATTGGAAAAAGTTATTAAGTA